TGTTACTATGTGGGAAATGAACTTTATAACTTGGGAAGGAGGAGAGTTGGAGGAGGGAGAGGGAAAGAAGGAGAAAACAAGGGAGGGGGTAACAATGTTTCAAAGGAAATGTACTCATGTAACTGTAACGCCTCCATACATCACCCTTACAATAAAATAAAGTGAAATGAAAAATAACTAAATAAAAGGGAAGAAGAATTATTTAAATGACTTAGAGATTCTGTCATTCTACTCTATGAGTCACCGACCCGTCTGGGTGGGAAATGGGGATGAGCGAGAGGTGTGCCTCCACAGGCTGAGATTCCTGTCTGTCTGTCACCTGGTGTGTGTGAGCAATGGTGGGCTGAGTGTCCAATCTTCCAGCTATGGAGAAGACACTCACCGAGGGCTTCCCTAATGAACTCAAGCATGGAACCTCTACACAGAGATGTGTTGGGTTAATATTTAAACATCACATGCCCGCTCTTTGGGTTGATGTACTCTATTCTCTGCATGAAGTATCAGTTGCATTTACTGATTTTTCTTTATTTGTCCCAAGTGATCGAATTGTGTGTGTTCATTGCACACAACATAAAAATTTGAAGGACACCGGTAACCATAGCTGGTTTCCATGTGCATACTTTTGACTTTTGTGGTGAATACACTCACATCCACTCTCCTCTCTATTGGTACTTTAGAGCAAATGGGCGTCGTGTTTTCATAAGTTTTAGATATACATAGAAACTAGAAAAGTTTTGTATTTAAGCCAGTACATACTTTTTTTGTATTCTCTTTGGGAATTCAATTCTGGTCATTAGAATTTTTAAAACTTATACCTCCCTCACACAAACACAGTAACTTCCTAAAAGATAAAAGACAAGGAAAAATCATATATGTTGAAACTATCTCACCCATCCCTGGCTACCTCATCGCTAGCAAATACAATTAAAGCAAGAGAATATTCCCATGTGCCTTTGCGTAAGTCCCTTAAAGCTTGGAGGTTTAAAAGCAACAGCAATAACAGCCTCCATTCAGGGAGACAGCTGTGCTTCATGGATGTCTGCTCCCTTGACATCACAGTCGCCCTCCCCACAGTGTAAATTTCCCCCCATTTTTGCATGGAGCAAATGACATATATCTCACAGAAATAACCAACTTGGAGCAGGTAAACTAATGGGGAACTCAGCCCTACTGGTCTCAGGAGTTCAAGCTAAGTATTCTATACACTCCCCTATTCTAAGGGGCTTGAACTTTTGGATGTGAATCTTCAATAAACACAGGATATAAATTAGTGACCAAGAACAGCAAATTCAGAGGCTTAGACAAGATAACACATCATCCATGGTATGTACAGAAGCAGCCCTGAGACAAGCAGCCCAGGCCCAGGAGCAGCTCCACTGAGCCTCTAAGAAGCAGGTGCCTGGCAAGAGGTTAAGACACCTCCCCCACCCCGGGGTCCCCATGTGCATCTGCGGCTCCAAAGGTGATACCAGGAGCAGAGGTGCACTCGAGGCAGGAAGAGAGGTGGACAGAAAATCACAAATCCCCCTTGTCAGAAGAGAATCTAACAAATACACAATACTTGCTAGGTGTTGGCTCAGTCTGAATTCATGAGTTATTCCCAATGACTAAATCTAAACTCTTTGAGTGACATCTTTCAAAAGCAGATTGAGGGGTTGGAAAGGTGGCTCATTGGTAGAGTGCTTGCCTTGCATGCATGAGGCCCTGGGTTCAATTCTGCAGCAGCACATAAGCTGGAAGTGGTGCTGTAGCTCAAGTGGTAGAGTGCTAGCCTTGAGCTGAAGAGCTGAGGGACAGAGTTCAGGCCCCATGACCGACAAAATAAAAAGCAGATTGAAATGACCAACATTTTATTGAAGTGTGACCAGGGCTGGACATGGGATTACCCAGACACGCTTGGAAAATATCCTGTGTTCACAGGCACAGTTCACCAAAAGTAGTTTTATCCCTAACAGACAAAACTATAACAACAGTCTGTAGGCCAAACCCCTATAGTGTAGAAGCATGAGGCAGATTGATGCATCATGGAAAAGTAGAATTGACTTGGTAGTCTGAATATAATCACTTTCAAGTAATTCAGACTAAAGTACGTGTTTTGTGATTCACAATAGAAAATCTCAACACTGTACTTAAAAGAGTGCAACGTGTCTCACCAGATGCTCTGAGATGAGGCCAAAATAACAGTCCTTGCTTGACCTTTCGGGCTTTAAATCAATAATGGGCCTATATTACATGAAGAAAACAAGCTATGCTTATTTTATCAAAATGCCCAATAATGCTGGGTACCAGTGGCTCATGCCTGTAATTCCAGCTACTAAGGAGGCTGAGATATGAGGATCATGGTTCAAAGCCAGCAGGAGCAGAAAAGTTCATAAGATTTTGTTTGTTTGTTTGTTGGTCATGGGGCTTGAACTCTGGGCCAGGGCACTGTCCCTCAGCTCTTCAGCTTTGATCTCAGCCTCCTGAGTAGCTAAGATTACAAGCCTGAACCACTGGTGACCAGCTATTCATGAAACTTTTATCTCCAATTAATCACCAAAAAGCTAGAAGTGGAGCTGTGGCTCAAGTGGTAGAGCACAATCCTTGAGTAACAAAGCTTAGGGACAGCACCAGGACCTGATCTCAATCCCCAGTATCAGCAAGCACACAAAAGGGTATGTTCACATATGCACACACACACACACACACACACACACACACACACACACACACAATTCCCAGTAACTATAAATCCTATTTATCCATCCATCCACCTATTCATGTCTACTTTCCTACCTTTTGTGCTTCACTGCCACACCATATCAGATAGCTAGATAGATTAGATGATAGATAGATAGATTAAAATGTACTGAGCTTAAATTGTGTATTATGTATTTGACATTTTTTATAAATGTTAAGCCTGATTGTAATTCCATAAGGCAAGCCCCAGATTCCAAACTCTTGGTCACTTTATGACAATCTACCAGAGGAGGGCTTTGTTTTCCTCATGGTGGTTGAGGATGTCTCTAGAAAGCTATTTCTGGAAGAGATTTACAAAGGTGAAGAAGACCCAGAGCTGTACCAACAGAAATCCTGATCAGTTTCCATATCAGTCTCAAAATTGGAACTCTTTGAAAATGGAATTGAGACACTAAATCTGAAATACAGAACAGGCTGACCTTGTAGGATCTGGGTAAGGATATATTCAGGGCTTAACAAAAGTGACCAACGTTCTCACAGGGGCAGATTCTGCATAAGGCCCAGGAGAGAACTCTCTGTCAGTGAGAATGGAAGAACACATTTATTTCATTCAACACTGAACTACTAAGAGCATTTTTCCCTGTATAGAAATGCACACAACTCAAACAAAACCATGTGATGACTCAGTACGGCATCCACTATCAAGAAGGAAGGAATGCAGTGGTGAAGATGTTATGAGTAAACAACAAATCCCTTTCGACGGGAGGAGAGAAGACCCATACCCACAGCATTCTTCTGCAGCCTCTGAACAAAGTGTCTCCCAGGCCCTCTCACTGCAGTCTATCATGGCACTCAGCCATCCGCCTGCCTCACCAGCTGATGGCTGCATCTCATCACTTTCTTTACCAATGAAACCCCAATAGAAAAAGCCCTGGGAAGTTTGCTCCAAACTCATAATCTTAACGATGGATTGCCAAAAGCAGTAAAAGCCACAGGATCTGGGTAACAGTTGAATTGGTTTAAAGTATTAGGCAATATTTAGCACTCATTCCAAAGAGCAATCCTTAAATATTCTGTGCCTTTGGGACTGATGAAGTTAAGAGTAAATATAGCCAGGTGCAGGTGGCTCAGGCCTATAACCCTAGCTATTCAGAAGGCTGAGATCTGAGGATTGCAGTTTGAATCCTGCCCAGGTGGGCAAGTCCATTCACCCTAATTAGTCACCAAAAGGCCAGACTTAGAGCTGTGGCTCAAGGGGTAGAATTCCAGCCTTCAGGGAAAAAAAAAACCTAAATGACAACACCCAGGCCCCGAGGTCAAGCCCTATTAATGGTGTGCACGTGCACATACACAGACACACACAGACACAGACATATACACACACCATTAAAAAAATAACAGCAAGTAGGTCATTTAATGTTTTTCAAGGTTTGAGCTCTAGTCTTCACAGGTTAGCAAACAAACCACATACTTCCATGCACCTATGCACTGACTTCTACGTCAGCCCTTTTCCTTCTAGGATTATTTTCCCCATGTTTAGACAGACTACAAATGAAGAACTCTCACAATGTATTCCTGAGTTAGGTGCCAAGGGAAAATATTTTGCTCTCAAATATGTTTGATCTCTCTGTGTTATTCTTGGACGTCTTACGCTTAGTAGCATCAAGGGCAAAATACATTGCTATTTTTTTTCCTTACAAATTTGCCAAACCCCTTCTCGGAATTCATTATGTTTGTCCTTTTAACTAATAGAGTTCCTGTATGGTCAGGATGAACTTGGGCTGTTGGCCTCCTGTAAATGGCACGTTTATGTGAACCTAGGAAAGTGGTCAAGGGTTTTCTCTCAAGAAATTGCTTATCCTTTCCCAATATCAGAATTTAAAACACGTCCTTTTTTAACATTTTTTTTCACTCTACTTCTGAAAAATACTGAGTATCACTTCAGCTCAGAAAGTCAAGCAGCTAGCCCAGATAGACAAATCCAAGCTGATCTTATCTCCAATGGACTAGCAAAACCCAGAGCTGGAGGCACGGGTCAACTAGTAGAGGGCCAGCTATCAGGCCTTGAGTTTAAGCCCCAGTACCAGTGTGTGTGTGTGTGTGTGTGTGTGTGTGTGTGTCTATGTGTCTGTGTGTCTGTGTGTCTGTGTGTCTGTGTGTCTGTGTGTGTATGCAGGGAATGCATGATGCCCGGCAGGGAATGCATGATGCCTGCCCCACCTCCGGCCACCACATGGGTGTTCTCCTGACCCTCGAGCTGAAGGCCGGGGTGCCCAGCAAAGCCTAGAGCACCCTCCCCGAGGAGCCGGCGCCGCCTGTACCTGCACAGGTGTTCCCGTCGTAGGTCTGGCACACCCACTCGTGGCACTCGCACAGTGGCCCAAAGTAGGTACCTGGCTGGGTCACGTGACAGATGCAGACTCCACACTCGCAGTGGCCGCGGCCATGGCACAGCGCACCCCCTGGGGGCTGCCCAGGGGCGCGGCACCTGCGCTCCGACTCGGCCCGGGACAGCCTGCAGGGGGCGCCCGACCAGCTTCTGCAGAGACCACAAAGACCACAGCCAAGGTCAGGTTCAAGGTCAGGCTCTTGCCTGGCCCACCCTCATACCATCCACTCAGCTCTGTGAGGAGGAAGCCTGTATACAGCCCCATCTCTGGGGAAGCCAATGTTTCCTGGGCAGGCTGGGATGTGGGGTTTATTGTTATTTGCTTTTAGCTTTTATTTTGAATCCGGCAACGGACATCCGGCTAAGTATCATCAAGTAGCATTATAATAAAAAAAAAATGATGTTCTCCCTCAGGGACAGAGATGATCCAGTCCTGTCCCCCTAGCAGTATGTCACCAGATCTAAATACACACGTGCAGATTAAAAATGCATGTTAATCCAAAATGTGACAGTTGGCTGGCTTTCCACTATTCTTTTATAATGTCCCATTGCTATCAGATGGTCAGAGGGAGAAAAGAACATATAGAAATAAATTATGCCTCATTACATATGATAGCATAGTTTGCATTACGCCGTCTTTATGCAGTGTGCTTTTAAAACAGTTGAGTTTAGTTGTTGTGACACGTCAGTGTCTTTTTTCTGGATCTGATAAGTACCCAATGCACTGGTGATATTATAAGCGTATAAAATTCCTTGCTAGGCTCTGGGATGGTACAGGGTCACAGAATGACACCTTGAACTCCTGGCTGTGATTCTTCCTCTAGGTATTCACAGAAAGAGAAATGGTATTCATATTCAACTGTTTTATTTTTCCAAAGGAAAACAGCCAAAGAACAGAGATTTGGGATAGACAGGTTGAAAACACTTTATCCCACTTTAGAAGCTGTTCTTGGCTTAGGATGGGTGTCTGCAAACTCTTGCCCTGCCACGCAAAGCTGGGCAGTCCATCTTAAAGAATAACAAGGTCAGACTTACCTCAGAGAAGGAGAGAAGCCCTGAGGAACAGCAGAGAGCCCAACAAAGAGCAAAGAGGACGCCAGCAGCAAGAGGTTCCTGACACCCCTGGGACGCATGCTGAGCTCTTGGGCTGGGCTGGGTGCTCTCCGCGGGGGGAGCTGCCCTTCTGCAAGGTGGGGCAGTTCAGGAGGTGGCAGGAGAGGGAGGTGTCACCAGCAGATGTCTCAGGAGAAGGACCCAGGTCCGCAGCTTCTCCCGGAGTTGCGATTGCTTGCGTTGATGAACGGCCTGGGAGGATTTGGGCAAAGGCGCTGCTCTGGGCGGGGTCCTGGTGCCCAGCCCCTCAGAGTGGAGACTCTAGGCAGGGAAGTAATTAGAAACAGTTGTACAAGCAGATGGTTTATTTTGACATAAAAAAGTCCTGTTCACAGATTTCAGAAAATCCTTTCTTTTTACAAGGACAGGTCCCAGGAATATCTGACAGGAGAATAATCAGTGGATTGATATTAAATAAACTATTAAGTAACTCCCAAGCTGTTACAAGGAGGGGTGGCCTCTGACAAGGGGGGGGTTGTTAAGGAGGGTGTGCCATTTGGGGTATGTAGGATGGAGGGCAAGCAAAATGGACAAACACAACGCCTCCTTCTATTTGTTTTCTGTATTTGTTTCCTGTACCTAAATGCTGGCTGTTTTCGTTTCTTAGATGTCTGAAAAGCATTCTCTGATTCCAGTTGCTTATCACACCACATTTTTTTTCTTGACTTGGACAGTCCAAACTGTGGTTGACCCAGTTTCACCCCATCTCTCCCATCCCAGTAATCCAGTATGCGCAAACAAGGAAAAGATCTATTCCAAGTATAACTTGCACTGAAAATAAATCCCTGTCATTTCTTAATCCCCTACTGAGTGCTGGTTGTTTGTTGTGTTTTATCTCTAATTGGGACAATGACCGCCTATTTATTGATTAATTGCACTTCTCTCAGGTGTCAGGCTCTGTGCCAGATGGAAAGGACGCCCAGAGGACTGGGCACACTCAAGCCTTTCTTGGAATGCAGTGGACTAGTAAGGCAGCAATCAAACACACACACACACACACACACACACACACACACACACACATACACACACCAGTACTTCCTAAGCCAGGTGGTGGCTCACACCTGCAATCGTAGCTACTCACAAGGCTGAGATCTAAGGATCATAGTTCAAAGCCAGCCCAGGCAGGAAAGTCCATGAGACTCTTATCTCCAATCAATGGCCAGAAAACCATAAATGACACTGTGGCTCAAAGTGGTAGAGCACTAACCTTGAAAAACAAACAAACAACAACAACAAAAAAGCTCAGGGCAGGTCCTGAATTCAAGCCCCAAGACTGACCAAAAAAAAAAAAAACCTACAGACATATGGCCATCTAATCTTCGATAAGAGAGTTAAAAAAAAATAGAATGGAAGAAAGACACAGCCTCTTCATTAAATGGTGCTGGCAAAATTGGTTAATCACTTGTAGAAAACTAAAGCTAGATCCTTATATATCACCCTGCACCAGAATCAACTCCAAACGGATCAAAGACCTCGAGTCAAAATAGAAACCCTGAAAACATTACAGGATGGAATAGGAGAAACCTTAGGCCTCCTTGGCACAGGTGGAAATTTTCTTAATAGAGATCCAGAAACACAACAAATCAAAGAAAGGTTGGACAAATGGGATTGCATGAAATTGAAAAGGGCATAGCTAGCAAGCTCAATAGAAAGCCCACGGATTGGGAGAAGATCTTCACTAGCTATACAATGGACAAGGGTCTCATATCTAAAATATAGCTGGAACTCAAAAAATTAAATCCCCCAACAACAAATCCTCAAAGAAACAACTGCCCAATAAATAAGTGGGCTAAAGACTTAAAGAGAAACTTCGACACATGAAAAAATGCTCAACCTCCCTAGCCATAAAAGAAATGCAAATCAAAACAACATTGAGATACCACCTCACCCCAGTTAGAATGGCTATAACCAAGAACTCTAATAACAACAGATGCTGTAGGGGATGTGGACAGAAGGGAACATTACTGCATTGTTGGTGGGAGTGTAAACTTGTTCAACCACTTTGGAAAGCAGTATGGAGGTTCCTCAAAAGACTCCACATAGAGCTTCCCTATGACCCAGCAATCCCACTTTTGGGCATTTACCCAAATGATCACAAACAAGACCATACTAAAGCTACCAGCACAACTATGTTTATTGCATCATTATTTACCATAGCTAAGATATAGAACCAACCCAGATGCCCCTCAGTAGATGAATGGATCAAGAAAATGTGGTATATATACACAATGGAATTGTATGCCTCCATCAGAAAGAATGACATTGCCCCATTGGTTAAGAAATGGAAAGGCTTGGAAAAAATTATATTAAGTGAAGTAAGCCAGACCCAAAGAAACATAGGTCCCATGGTTTCCCTTATTTGTAACAGCTAGTATATGTCTGAGACAAGCAGAAAAGGTCAGATAAGTTGATGTTAGGTGAAATGAACCCCAAGATAAGTATTCAAATGTTTTTTTTTCTTTCTTGTGATTGTTTCTAACATATTTATAAGATTTCTTTGTTGCTTTGTATGTCCCTCCCCCATGGTATAATCCCTGCTTTCACTGTATTTGATGTTGGTATAATTTGTGGAGGGGAAGGGAAAAAACAAATTGTTTAAATAGAGATACAGGTGGACCCATTGCAACAATGACATGAACAAGTTGTTATGTCGAAAAACGAACTTTACAACTTTTGCCGGGGGTGGGGTGGTGCGAGAGGTGGGGGGGGGGAGGTGGAGAGATGGGAAGGGGAAACAAAGGAGGAAGCAACAATGCTTGAAAAGAAATGTACTCATTACCTTGCCCATGTAATTGTAACCCCTCTGTACAGTATTTTCACAATAAAAAATAATTAAAATTTAAATTTAAAAAAGGTTACTTCCTGGTTAAATACATGTACCTGATCTCAAGTCATAGTTGGTCTTCATCGATCCTCTCTGCCACCACTCAGGCCTATATCCAAAGGAGTATAAGTCAATAGTCAAGAAATATACCTGTGTACCCACGTTTATTACAACGCTGTTCATTCACAATGGTCAATCTGTGAAATCAACCCATGTGCCCAATATTTGATGAGTGGATAAAGGCAAGATGGTACATATATATCACGGAATAGTACACAAAGCCATACAGAAAAAAATAAAATTATGCAGAGATGGATCAAACCAGACATCGTCATGTTAAGCTAGTCAAACTCAGAATGATAAATATGGCTTTTTGTTAGCTTTGTCAACACTAAACCTAAAAGACCTACACATTCATGGACACACATACACATATGTGTATATGATATCTATCTGTAGACACACATATGTGTCTATTTCAATACACCTACACAGAACATGATTGTAGCTATGGAAATGCCTAGAGAATGAGGCTTTTTTTTTTAAATCTGGAATGGATATGGCACAAGGAATCTCACTGCGTCACTGCGAGCTGTTGATCAATAGGGGGTTAGAGATGAGCCACAGCAACTACACCCCTGGCCCCTTCTGCTTGAGTTATTTTTGTACTAGGGTCTCATGTTTTTGCCTGGTCTGGCCTTAATCGGATTTATACTTGCCACATAATGGGCACACACCACCATACCCTGCATCTATTTCTTGAGACGATGATTTCAAAACTTTGCATGGGCTGTGGGGCCTGAACTACAATCCTCCCCAGCTCTATCTTGCAACTAACTAGGATTATAGGCAGCATTTTACTTTTTGTTTTGGTCATGGTGCTTGAACTCAGGGCCGGGGCACTGTCTCTGACCTCTTCTGCTCAAGGCTAGCACTCTACCATGTTGAGCCACAGCACCACTTTCAGTTTTCTGGTGGTTAGTTGGAGATAAGAGTCTCACCAACTGTCCTTGTCCAGGCTAGGTTTAACTGTGGTCCTCAGTTCTCAGCCTCCTGAGTAGCTGGGATTACAGGCATGAGCTATCAGCACCTGACTCTTTTGACATTTTTAGCTATCTTTTTTTTTTCCAAGGGTCATATTCATTATAAACATAAATGGAAGTCATGGCACTGGTGGTTCAATCTTGCAATCCTAGCTAATCAGGAGATTGAGATCTGAGGACTGGGGTTCAAAAAAGTCCGTAAGATTCTTATTTCTAATCCCCCAACATTTGGAAATAGAGGTATGGCTCAAATGGTAAAGTCCCAGTGCCAGCCTTGAGAAAAAGAAAAGTTCAGGAACAGTGTGTGAACAGTGGGTCTGAATTCAAGCTCCAACATTGGCACAAAAGAAAAAAATTGAATCCTTGTAAATTGATATATGTGTACAAGGCACAGCACAGTGTAATGAGAGAAGACTCATTCTTCAAGGCAAGGAGCTCCTCTTCAATGATGAACATGTTTTTCTTCCTAATTCTGCCAACAGTCTGCACCAGCAGGCACTAGTGAATGAGGTGCTATGAAACATGCCTGTGGTACATGGGCTGAAAGTACACCAAAGGTGGCAAGTGTCCCCAGAGTCTGGGTAGGAGCCTTTCTCAGACTTGATCTCTCCTTTCTCTTACATTAAAAGACAGCAGTCTTTATAGGAAAGGTGTAATTCTGGAGCAGTAAGCATTGTTATTATGACTTCTCTATTTGACTATTCAGGAGAATATGAGTCTGATTCACTCTTACCTTGTCCAGAAACTCACTTGAGTCTGAAGGAAGGTACATGATAAACCAAACCACAGCAGTTCTTGGCCATCACAAGTGGGTGTGGATAAAAAGGCCCCCAGGCTTAAGACAGCTACTGTAAGCCCTTGATATTCTTTTCTAGTTTGTTTGTTGGGTTGTTTTTCTTGTCAATCTTAAACTGAGACAAACCAAGGCAGTCCTTTAGAAGGGGGTTTGGTTCAGTCAGCAGCCTCAGGTGTTCAAACAAAGGGAAATGCAGAGAGCTGTGGATCTCTGCTCTGCCAGTTCACTGTGAAAAAGTCACTCTCTGCCTGATCTCCTAGGAAGCTCATCCAGACCTTTTGTTGGTTCCACGCAACTGCCAAACAAGGAATCCCTCCATGCATGCTGATGGCGTTGCATTGTTTGTTTGTTGTG